GGCACTCCCTCAGCACTGATCCTCTGACAGTGTGGCACTCCCTCAGCACTGACCCTACGACAGTGCGGCACTCCCTCAGCACTGACCCTCCGACAGTTTCCACTCCCTCAGTTGCAGACCTATGAATACAGTGATGGGACAGCAGTTGGTGGTGATCGCTCTCTCAGCATTGAATAGTTGAAGCTTTCACATGCTCTGGTTGCACTGAGCTCCCTGGTCTGAGAGGTGACTCTTTGGGGGCTGTTTGTGCTGCTGTGTCAGTTGCTGTCTTCCTCCACCACACCCCCCCCGCCATTAATGTGTGGACATTTCTTTCACAGGTTACTCTGTGGCTGTTGGGGAGTTCAGTGGAGATTCTATTGAAGGTAAGCGTCTGTTAGTCCAAAGACCAACTGAAGATAAAGCAGTCACACTTGTAAGGTGGCTCAATGACCTTAATCAGAATCTCAAACACTGCGACAATTCTCTGTAATTGAAAGGAATATATTCAAGTCTTGAGCTTTTGCAGCTTTGAGCTCTGCATTAGCTTCTCTCTGGCAGTGCACTGGCAATCCATGTTGTGGAACAAATCTTCTCGTGAACTTTAATCAAAGTTGAGTTTTCAACCAATCGGCATCCTGTTTTCTGCAGTGTAAAGTGTGTTCCCTTTGAAATTTGGCATTCTTGTATCTGTCCTGATGATAAAACAGTTCAGCAGTACCTCTCCATTTCTATCAGTGTTCGATGTGAGAATGATTTGCCCTGTGTTTGAGCTTTTGGTTTCCACTGCCCATTTGGTTGAGATTTATGTTTCGGGATGAGGTGCCCACAATCTGGGATCAAACTAGACACTTCCAGGTATCTGAGATCTTCAAATAGCCATCCCCCCCCCAGCCCAATTTGATCTGAGGTTGGCATTTTCTTTATTGCTAATCTTATGTGGCTATTGCTTACCAGGCTAGCATGTGTTGCCCATCCGTAGTTGGCATGGGAAGTTAGTAGTGAACCTTTGTCAACTGCTGGCAAACAGCATCGGCCAAGTAATGCAGGGTTGGAGGCATGTGCAGGCTGGTGCCCAGCATGTGAGTGAACCAATTTAGATACCACCTTCACAGATGTCCTCAACTCAGTTCGAGGCTTTGTGGGCAGTGTGTCACCTTCAGTGACGAAGGCAAGGGGGAGGGAGCGTGTCCATCCATGAGCTGCGTGGCAGTCAGTGTGTTGGGGAGTTCTCTGCCAGCTTACTGGGAGAGTAGGCAGTGGACACTCCTCGACGCAGCATCAAAATGGCCAAGAACACCCTGGACACTGCAAATCAGAATTCAGGGATTTAATAGGCAGAACATTGAGGGCAATGGGGGATTGAGGGGGAGGAGATTTGAGCGAGGGACATTTGAGGGGGTTTAAAGAAGAGGGGGAGGGAGAGGATTGGGGAGGGACTGTTGTGGGAGGGGGAGAGGAGGTGATAGATGTGGCTAATTGAGGAACAAAAACAGGGAGTGACTGTCCCATTAGCTTTTCCGTGTTATTTGCATGCCCCTTGCTTGCAGCTGTGGAGGTAAGGCCACAATGGCGGCTTGCCTGGAACGGCCAAGGGCTGATGTGTGTTGTTCTGCTTCACAGATTATGTGACTGGAGTGCCCCGTGGTCTGGACACAATCGGATATGTAAGCACCAATTTCTGCTGAATCGAGCACGCGATGTGAACCAGGAGCAGGCCGATGGCCAAGCTGTAGATGCCCTCTCACTGGCACAGGCCCTTTCCTGGCAGCATTCCCAGGATCCAGAGTCTGGTCTCCCTCTCTCCCTCAGTTCTCCTGCTCTCCCTGGGCCCTCTCCCACTCCCTTGCCACCCCCCACTCCAAAATCTCGGCACTCCCTCTGTCCTTTAGACCTCCCCCTCTCCCTCAGTCCTCCCCCCTCCCAGGGGCCTCCTTCTGTCTCACTGCCTCCTTCCCTCCCACCCTGGGTTCTCCCTCCCTCTCTCCTTGAACCCTCCCTCTCACTGTCACTGATGACAGGGCCATTTAGACTCACTGCCATTTTGTTCTCTTGAAACAGGTGAGGATATTAAACGGGACAAACATGGAGACCGTATTCAATTTCTCTGGTGAGCAAGTAAGTTACTGTCTCACCTCTTTTACTTTTCTCCCGCTCCCCTGACTGTCTCACATTCCTGAGCTCTGGAGGCCTGAAACTGTTGCTACCACCAGTCCTTTCATGGCTGTGTTTGTGTGTGTGTGTGTGTGTGTGTGTGTGTTTCTGGGCTGTAAACCCCTAGTTCAGAGGTCAGGACTTTATCTACTAAACTACAAGACTGAGGTCTGTTACCATAACCACCATGGACTGCCTGAGTTGAGTGGCCTTTTTCCGTGCCAGTACAGAATAAGAATCAGTCTTGGTCCATCTGGACATGTACCCAGAGGCTCAGGGCACACCGTTGTTTCCTGATACTGATGATACAAAGCTCAGTGTGAATGTGAGGAGGACACAGAGAGGCAGCAGAGAGAGATAGCCACAGGGTAAGCGAGTAGGCTGCAAGAGGGCAGCTGGACTGTAATGATAGAAAGTGGGAGGTTATTCAATAAAAACCAAAAGGTGTCACTTCAGCTGTCCAAATCGAAAAGCAGGACTTTTTTTTCTTAAAAGCCATGAAACTTTTCCATGGCCCTGCTTACAGATGTAATTAAACAAAGAACACAGAACGTGAGCATAAAGGCACAGCTAGCGGTTAGGAAGGCAGATGGCATGTTGGCCTTTATTGCAGGGATTTGGAAGACAGGAATAAGGAAGTCTTGCCACTATTAGCTGGAGCTTAGGAGAGATCACGTCTGGAATACTGTGCACATTTCTGTTCCGATCTCCATGTTTAGGGAAGGACCTACTTATATTGGAGGTGGGACAGGAATCACATTCTGATCTCTGTATCTAAGGAGGGATCTACTTGTATTGGAGGTGGGACAGGGGCCGCATTCTGATCTCTGTATCGAAGGAGGGATCTATTTGTATTGGAGGTGGGACAGGGACCACATTCTGATCTCTGTGTCTGAGGAGGGATCTACTTGTATTGGAGGTGGGACAGGGGCCACATTCTGATCTTTGTATCTAAGGAGGGATCTACTTGTATTGGAGGTGGGACAGGGACCACATTCTGATCTCTGTGTCTGAGGAGGGATCTACTTGTATTGGAGGTGGGACAGGGGCCACATTCAGATCTCTGTTTCTGGGGAGGGATCTACTTGTATTGGAGGTGGGACAT